ATGACATTTATAAATGTATGAATCATATGGTGAAAAATTGACTTTGAAAAATAAATCTGTTCTTTTTTCTTATAAAAGGCTAAATAAAACAAAAATGTTGGTGGTAATTTTTGACTGTGTAACTACAAACGGCAGCCCATAGGTATTGCTTGAGCTTATTTCTCCCCTTGGAAAGAACCACCTGCTCAGGTTCTCACCTACTGGTATCGTCTGCAGCTTTTTTTTTCCTGAAATTTGTAAGGCATACAGAACGTGCAATGAAACAGAACAGAAACACATACGGGTTTCACAGGTACATGTCAGATATTGTCAGCATTTGTCTTTTTTTTTTCAGAATATGTTAAGGAGTCCCATGTTTCCCAATACTTTCTTCCTTTATGCTGTTGTAGACAGAGAGTACAGGTCATCAGTTCCATTGTTCTTATATGTTCGATAGTCTGCATCAGTAGGTCCAGAGAGGCAGTGTCTCTTATGAGCCAACATTTTGTGATGCCTTTCTTTTGCAGCAACAAGGATAATCCTAAATAGCTATACATCTCTTTGATATWATCCCCTTGGAGGTATGCTAAGGAACACTACAGAAAAAGTCATTTCTAATCAAATATTTAACACCGAGTAGATTAAATTGATCACCTTCAACCAAAATTCAGTTATGCCTGGACACGACCAGCAGGAGGGCTGCACAGCCTTTACCTTGGATTTCCATACAGGTGTAAAAAAATAAAAATAAAAAAAACGAATCAAGCTTTTCCAACCAAAATCTTTCCAAGTGAGTTTGTGGTAGAGGATTGAGATTTCCATCTCTCTGCCAGTTATTCTGTTATTTCTACATTAAGGTCTTTATTTCATTGTTTTTTCACATGAAGATAAACTTTATTATCAATTGACATWAGGGCCTTATAAATCTTTCCTATTTTTTGTATTTTCTGCAGCTTTGAGGTAGGACGAGTGACTAAAGGTCGGGCTCTGTGGTTTTCTCGTCTCACATGTTGTTGTTGAAGAGCAGGATTTTTTTAATGAATCTGTTCAGTGACTATGGCTGTGTCCAAATTCAGGGGCTGCATGCTGCAAAGGACTAATCTGAAGGCCRATTATGTCACAGCGCCACGCCGAAGGCTGTCCAAATTCAAAGGCTCATGCAACTGCGCCCCATAAATGTGTCCTCCTTTTGCCCCGATTTGATGGACAGGTTTAGTGGATCCTTCTCAGCCCACTCAAGGTGGACCAACCGGGGGGATTTCTTTGCTTATTATGGCGGTAAAGTGAGAGTCAGGAGTCCATAAATAAAAATTTGGAGGCACAAAAATCAAAAGTTTAAAGTGGGTGTGCTGTTAGGTTTTGTCATTTAAATAAACGTGATTTTTAATATTATTCTTGTCAAAGAGCTCATATGACAGGGCCATACATGTCAAGTTGTACGGATTGTCCGTAATTTACAGATTTTCCATCATTTTGCAGGTCTACAGACGAATAGAGCAAACTCACGGATTTTTTCATGTTTTACAGATTTTTTCAAAAACTCAGTTTTAAATTAATTGAACATGTCAGATCCTGTAGGACATTTAAAAAACAATAACATCAAATATCCACTTCCAACCCACTCTGCTTTGCTGCAGCCGACAGTCCGCTACATCTATGTGCAAGTTAAAAATGTTTAACTGCACACACTGTTGTCCCGAGACAACAAATGTAAAACTACCATTTCTGTATGTAAATAAAGGCTAGGTGTTTTTACTCAGTTAAGATAAATACTAAGTGTCAGGACAAAAGACCAGAACAAATAGTACTGTTGGTATACACATTTATTGAAAGTAGAAAGATGAATCTGTTAGCTAGTTAGGTTGTTGAGCTGTTTGAGGTGTTAACACCTTATTTTCGAGTCCCTTTGTCTCTGCTCTGCTTTTGAGTCAGTTGTTTCCTCACAGCTGCTGTCTGCAGAAGTTTCGTTTCCATCAACAAAGCAGGTAAACTGGATGCTCCGTACTGCATAAAGAAAAAACATAACTAAACACGAGACAGGTCGTCTTTCTAAAGCTGGACCTCTAACAGGTGCTATCAAATTGACTTTATGATTTCTAAYATGGCTGAAGTCAGTGTTCATGTTTATACCGTCTCTTTCTGAGTGCGGTGTTTGCGTCTGTGGCCCAGGTAKTGTCTGCTGAGCTCTCTGATGCTGTGGAGGAAGGACTGGCCTTGTTTTATGTCAGCAAGTCTCTGCTGGAGTTCAGCTTCCTCCTTCTGCAGCAGCCACACCTGCCTCTCTGCCCTGCAGACCACACACACAGAGCTGTTTCCACCCACGTTTTTCCTCTTTTTGTCACACTTCAGATCAGTAACAGTAAATACTAAAGGTTGTTTTTAAATGGTTTTATTTATTAAGGGATAAAAAAGCTATTCAAACCAACAGCTCTATGAGGTGAAGTAATTACCTCCTAAACCTAAAAACTTATGTTGAGGTGACTTCTTGATCCTGAGTCTGACAGTAATCAGGTCTGGGTGTGGAGGTGAAGCTCAACTCAGTTTTTCAAATAAAACAGTTAATTTATGATTAAACAGGAAGAATTATTCTTCCTTAAAGCATCATGTTGGTTTGATTTACTTTTTACCTGTAATAAAT